TCTCCCCTGGTCATCAGAAATACCTGGTTCTGAAAATGGACTCGTTCCTCGAAACCGGTGAGATGGACTGGGACCTGAAACGGTTCCCCTTGGGCCAATGCCAATACCCAGCAACTCGGAACGACGAATTGGTCCACTCCGGCGTCTTGGACCTGGCGGATTCTTTGAACCTCTAGGAAGCTCGCGAAAAAAAGTAAAAAAGCCACCAGAAGGCTGCTGGAAGAAACTGTGGCTTTCGGGACATGGTCCCTGTTGCCGATCTTGTCCCGTTCTGCAACTTCTATAAAGAGCTTTGTTCGACATCAGCTTTGTTTCGTATGATTCTGCGATGAGCGTGTTTCGAAGACCGAGAAAGAAAGAATTTGAAGAGGGAAAAGAAAGAAACGCGTAATAAACCATGACGGAATAGAAATCTGCCCGCTGACGTCGTCATGAGATCCCTCGGGACAGGGCGGGGAGAAAGACGTTATCTGAACCCCTTGGTCGACTCTGCTCTGTGAAGTACTCGGCAATTCTTGGAGTGCAAACTAGATATCATGAAGTGCCACTAGCAGATGCCAGGATCAAACGATCCCAAGGTATATATATACGTGCCTGTACTTCGTACTCCGGGCAGATTTCTGTGATGCTTGTTCGGGGTCCAGTCGGGTTTCCCAATCTCTCAGAGGGTGTCATTCACGCTAGGTAAGATATGCATTGAATTCCAAAAAGGACAGCATGCGGAAAGGACCGCCGCTCTTCCTTTGTAAAATTCTTGTTCCCTCAAGACCTTAAGACGGGTGATATATCCGACCTGCGAGAACGCCCGGCCAATGTCGCACGCACCTTTTTTTTGTCTTCCCCTATGCGGCAGGCTCCGAATGCCTGGAGAGATGAGGTTTGCCACGATCTTGGACTAGCGCAGCAAAGAGCGTTACTCTGGGCCTTTAGGGCAATTGAAGAAATGGGGAAAAGGAACCCGATTGAACGAAACTGGCTCTTACCATCTTATTAGCCTTTGGAAAGGTGGTCTAGAGGCTCCACTGCCAAGTTGGTCCTAATTTCGAGTTTTTTTCCTCTTCCCCAGGGACAATCTAACTTCTTCACCATATGGAAGCAATGGGGTGATCAACGTGTTGATCGTACGAAGTTCGAGACTAGCTCATCCGGAGGCAAGCGCCCGCCCCAGACGGCACTTTCTTCGCGCTTGCTAGGAAAAGAAAATGGGATATTCATGCTTTGATGATCCTAAACACAGGTATCGCGATGAGGACATTGGGAGGTAGAGGTTGTGAAGTATGGATGGAATATGTAGGCTGACCTCCCCGAATCCCATATTGCAGTGCGTATGTTGGGAGATGGGGAGGGCGCCTGCTCGGAATGTCCTCCCAATTTTGGGGAGCTAACCTTAATGGGTCCCAATCCGGAGGATTGGTTGCGGAAGTGGCAGATATCCATTGATCTTGGCTGACCGTTGCAAGATCACATCTCAAACTTTCCCATCCCCGGACCCGAGACTTCGATTCTGCCTTTGGGTAGTGTCTCAGTAACGGTACCCTAATATCTTGCCCTAGGACTCAATGGGATCTAGCGCATCAGGGTTCTAAATTGTAGGATTGTTAAAGCCATCAACTAAGCTGGAATCATGGACGACTCGAGTCAATCATTTGATCTCTTGGAAAATACAAACGGAGTTACGGAGCTCTCTTGGAATGATCTAGCGCAGTAACTAAACTACGTCGTAAACTACATGGAGTACGATCTTGATCCTTCGTCGTCCCTTTCTCACCACCATTCGGAGGATGGCATGTAGCCAAGACCTATGATTGCACGGTCCCTTCCCTTCGAAGTACGAAGTAGTTTACGAACGTATACAAAGTATGAAGTATACAGACTTGGTCGTTGATGCTTTTGACGCCAAGTCTGCCTGCACCTCTCGCCTCTTTAAAGTAATTACTTTGTAAGAGAAGTGCGAGGAGGTCCAATCGAGATACGTAGTGCGATCTGAGAAGAAAAGCTCATTGATGCATGTGCCCTGGCTCTCTGCCTTGCGCTTACTTTCCACTAAATAAAGGCACAGGTTGGTGGGATGATATTCGCGTCAGCATCGTACTGATGGGCCAGCTTCATTGTTCACTCGCCTACGTTGTGCAACAATACATACAATGAAACAAAGCTGTATAGAACGAGGAATAAGTACGAAGTATAGTATTCCATCACTTACATGTCAGAGAAGCGGAACCCTGCAAGGGCAAGGTGTCGTACTTGTGGGTGGAGAGACACACTTCAATGATGATCTCTCTTTCTCTCTTATTGATGAGCTTGTTGATCATAGCGAAGCGAACGGTACCTCTCATGAGAGAGGTCGTACTGCAGTGTTACTGCTGGCACGGGCTGGGATCAATTAACATGTTCTCAACGACCTGATAACCAATTTCACAGAGAAGAAAGAAGTACCTAGATGAGGGTTGGTATACGACAGGAAACAACTTGCCTCTTGAACGAAATGGAGACCATCAAATTTGTACCCTCCCTTTGGACTCCAGTCCCCTCTTTTCTGCAGCTTCCCTTCTTGGTTGTTCGGCCCAGACGAAAGGTGGACCCGGAACATCTGGGCATCGTAATGTACCTCGTGGTTTCCTCACAATTTACGCCTACTCGAATTGTACGAAGTATGTGGGTACATTGATTGATGCATCAATTTCTCGTAGACTTTATTTTGCCCGGTCTGAGAGAGAGAGAGAGAGTACTGAGTACTTCATAGCACTACTCACATTCCCTAAGATATCTATGATCTCGGAAGGTACCGAGGTACTCACGGGCTCGGTAAATCCGTGGACGTGTAATTCGCACGAAGGTGGAAGGAGTCACTGAGCAATTGAGTTTCTGCGGTCTCGGATTGATGTCTCAGCCCTGTTCAGTGTTCTGTTTGACACCAACCGCAGCCTTTGATCCCCTACCGCCGAGTTTGCTCGGAGCCACCAAACAAAGAAGCAAAAAGCATTGCATCTTTCCAGCTCTCGCTGGTCGAACCGCAGAGAATCCCAACTAGATCGTCGGTGGTGCTGAGCAGCATCCTGTTGAGCGCCTCTGCAGCTTCGGAGTCCTCAACCCGCTGAGAATCTGGTGGGGGAAAAACACGACGGAGTTGTGCGAAGCGGACGGATAGAGTGCGCTACACCAATCTTACATCGATGCAGGAACCAAGCAGAAGCACGAACTGAGAGCGGAAGCCTCCTTAAAGTGGTCACCACGACATCCAGTTCTAGGATTTAGCTTTCTCCGCCCAATCCACCCAGTCCCCATCAATCCAGCCTACTGCTTCTCAGGCGGTTGTCTTTGCCCGACTTGCCAATCCATCTCAAAGACATTGTCTCTCCTTCTCAGAGACAACTCCCCATCTCTCTCAGTCCAACACCGGGAAACCGCAGCGGGACTATCCCTCAGTAAGGTCTTGCTGGGCTCGACACTGCATCCTCCCTTGCTTTTCTTGGCGAATCGGGATCGTCAATGAGATTTCTCTGCTCATTCTATTAATACCTCTGCTAGCAAAATCTTTAATGACCTTAGGCCCTAGCCATCTCCCTCCGCCTCTCCTCTCCGACTCTCTCCCGACTTTTAAGGCGAACAACTCCAAGTACAAGTACTAGCGTTCTCCAAATCCGACTCTCCTCGCAGGGCATCGTACCAGTTGATGGAGCTTTTCCGATCCGACCAACCCACCATCCTGGGAATCCCCGTCTTCCCACATAACATCTGGCATTGTTGATACGTCGACTTGAAACAGTTACCCAGCGTTCGACAAGAGTACCTCTAGAGCCAGTGCAACGCAACATCCTACTTCTGCATACGTCGTACATTGAAATTCCCATTCCACGCCCCTCGCACCTCTTCGCATCTCTTCCTACTCTTTCCACACCTCCTAGTCTCCCACCCCTGGCTTGACACCACCCCTGTCAACCCACTGACTCCCGGCATCCTTTCCCAGCACAAGACGAGGGTCATTCTAGACCTTGGCTGCTAGGCTAGCTCGTCCACCCATCCGCCCAGGCCAACTGCTGATCCCCCGGATGATATATTATTCTACTACTGTTACTTGTATGCCCGCTTGGGCTCTTGAAAAGGGAGGCGAGGGATCCTAGAACCACCCTTCCCAGACTTGCGAAGTACTCTCCTCTCGTGTACCTGCCTGGCCATTATTACTACCCTGCGCGTACTATTACTAGTACTGCTGGTGCTTTGTCTGCGTCTTTCTGGGCGTCGTGCCATAATAGTCATTATTCCACCTCTTCCCACTCTTTTCCTCACGAACACCCATTCGACCTTCCATCTACACTCGCTCGCTCAACCTCTCTCATTCATTCATTCCTTCTTTCTTTCTCACAACGACACACAATATTTCTCCCACCAAACCTCGCATTATACTGTAGCCTCTCGACAGAAGACACTCGAGTTTAATGAATGTCGCGGCGAAATTAGCCACAACCAACCTAACATAGTTCATTAATGTTCCACCGCTTCAAGAAGAACTACGGATCCGGCAACTCCTCTTCCTCTGGTCGCAGACACGAGGTCGACGAAACACAACTCGCCAGGCTCGGTCTTGTTGACAGGTCGGCAATTAAGCCTGCCAAACCACGATACCGACCAGACTACGAATTGGAAACGCCTACATATCCTGAAAAGAGTACGTCGTATTTTTTCTCACCTACCTTATATATATATATATTTTTTTTTCTTCGTTCAGTTCGGTTCTCCAGTCCAATAAGTCTACGAGATCGGGGAGCTGCGCCTACACTACTTCAATTCGCATTGGAGCAATCGCTCTTACAGCGAATAGAAAGAAACTTGTCATTCTATTGAATATCTTGTTTTCACCAAGTAATAACTTTCAATTGGCAGGTTTTGCACGATCCACCTCGCAACAAAGCAACCGAGTAGCTCCGTCTATAAGCTCAATCGGCTCCAGAGACAGTCGGGGTTTTCAGAGCATCCACAGCTTCAGCACCGCTACCACCGCAATGGCGACAGCAGCCGATCGCAGCCGGCAGCGACGAGAGCGCACCTTCGTCGGCAGCGAATGTGCCGTGTGTGAAGAACCCCTCGAGCATACCCTCCGAGGCGAAAGAATCCTCCAGTTCTCCTGCGGACACATTTCCCATGAGGCCTGCTTTTACGAATTCATTCGGGAGTTTGAATCGCAGTACTGTCCTATGTGCAATGCGCCCTTACATCTCGATACCAGCAGAGCAGGTAATGTGCTCGATATAGGTATGTCGTGAATAACACCAGCTATGCGCTTCTTCTTCCTGTGGCCTTATCGTCGACTTCTAACCTATTGGTGTGTTCAGAAAAAATTACGAATCTTGTGAGGTCGGCATCGTCGCACGATAACAGGTCGCAGAGCACACCCACACCCACACCGAACACTTGGGATCCTTCTCGTGCTCCCAGTGTCGACTCGAATCGAAGGCAAAGTGGCCCCCACCAGAACCGAGGCGCTCTTCGAGACAGCCGAGATGCGCCTTCGTCCAATGATCGATATGGTTCCCGCGGCCACGCTCGCAGCGACAGCGAGGCCACCGGTGTCGCCTCGTCTGGAGGATACCCCGAGACGATGCAGAGCGGTCCCGCGCGTCGCCACGACTACGATCTCCAGGCTATGGAGACGACCCCTGGAAGCCCACGGAGTGTCGCTCGAAACCCGATCCCACCTCCCACCGTCACGGTTCGATCTGAGTTCCCGACTCTAACCAAGTCAAGGCAGCAACAGACGCTCACCTGCTTGGTCACCGTCGAAGTTCCAGACAACAAGTGGCGACCCGACCCCGAAGATCTCGCCGTTACCCCATCTGTGCCGCCGATCGGCGCGAGGTTGGACGAGAATTTTGCTCGACCTCCATCGCCTGCGCGAAGCGCTCCCCGATTCTACCCATACGAGCCTAGGGAAGTTTTGGACGAGATGACGGAGAATCTACGGAATCGCGTGGATAACTGGCATGGCCTTGATTTTAGCAGGTGAGTTCCATTTAAGCCATCTTCTGGTTTGCCGTGCCAATGAGGCGCAGTTGTTCGCGGACTAACCAATGGGGATTTTAACCGGGGACAGATTTGGCAAGCTGCGCCTATACGGCACGCTCAAGGTTGGCAAGGATAAAATGTCGTGGCAGGAGCTGGAGTGCTTCCTCTTCGCCGAAATGTTGATTTGCGTCAAGGAGAAGCGAATTGCCCAAGCGCAACAATGGGACGATAACGGCCTACCGAAGAAGTCGACGAGATGCACTCTCAAGGGTTCCATTCTAATCAAGAAGCATCTCAACGAAGTAACCGAGACCGGGAGTATCGACGAGAATGTTCTCACCCTCAGCCTCTCTGTGGCTGAGTTACCTCAGTTCCATCTTCGGTTCGAGAACCGAAACCAATTGAAGCTTTGGCAGCAAGCACTCCTCGATCTCAATGCCATCGAAGGATCTCCCGTCCGCAGCCCCGACTATGACCGCGGCGACTTCTCCGAGACGGACGAGGAGCTCGACTGGAACCGCGCATCACGCCAACAGCGTGTTTCTTCGGTCGCATCCTCCTGGGGTCCCAAGTCCGTCACGACGGCGGCGACCGAGTACACGAACTTCGCCAAGAGCCCGCTCATGGCACCGACGGTTCACGTTCCCATCGATGTTGTCGTTGTCGTTCCAATTTCATCTTCGATGCAGGGTGTCAAGATCAACCTTGTCCGCGACGCGCTTCGATTCATGGTTAGCTCTCTCGGCGAGAGGGATCGCATGGGCCTAGTGACGTTTGGCTCTGGCGGTGGCGGCGTGCCTATTGTTGGTATGACCACAAAGGCGTGGCCCGGCTGGACGAACGTTCTCTCCTCGATCCGACCTGTAGGGCAAAAGAGCCACCGGGCCGATGTTGTCGAAGGTGCCAATGTGGCCATGGATTTGCTTATGCAGCGCAAGTACAACAATCCTATTGCTACTATCATGTTGATTAGCGACGCATCGACCTCGGACGTCGACAGCGTCGATTTTGTAGTCTCGCGTGCCGAGGCGGCCAAGTACGTGACTTTTAACCCCCTTATTCCGTCGTATCTGGGGATTACTTGACTAACAGCCTTTTTTCTTCATAGGATCACCATTCATTCATTCGGTCTAGGAATGACGCACAAGCCCGACACCATGATTGAATTGTCGACGAGGACAAAGGCGTCGTACACCTATGTCAAAGACTGGATGATGCTCCGCGAGTGTCTTGCCGGATGTCTCGGCGCCATGCAGTCGCTTTCTCACCAGAACGTCAAATTGAAGCTCAAGCTTCCAGAGGGCTCTCCAGCCAAGTTCCACAAGATCAGCGGCGCTCTTCAGATTACCAAGCGCGCGACGGGACGCGATGCAGAGGCATCGCTTGGCGATTTGCGATTCGGCGAGAAGCGCGACATCTTGGTGCAACTAGTAATTCTGCCAGATACCTCGTCCCAAGACCAGCTACCGCAGGATACGTGGGACAGCCTTGTTTCGGGCTTGGAGGCGCTGGGTGGATCGATGGACTCAGATGAGCAGAGACCAGCTTCCGTGGAGGAGGTGCCTCTCATCCAGGCCGACCTGACGTGGGGCGACATCCTTCGGGACGGCACGGTGGTTCACCTTCCGCGACCGTCGCTCCTGGCCATTACGATGCTCCCGACATCCCATAACAAGAAGTCGTGGGTGAACACACCACCCATCCCTCCGCACCCGAACGTGGTGCAGCGAAGAATGGAGCTCTTGACGTCGGACATGCTCACAAGGGCGTTGACGCTAGTGACGCGTGGTCAGCACGACAGAGCGTTCACGCTCCTCAACGAGACTCGGTCGATCCTCAAGGGTCTCGGCAAGGGCGGCCTCCCTCCCGTACCACCCATGCCCTCCAAGTCTCCCATGACTCCCCATGGCCTCCCCGATGGGTCGCCCATCCCTGCTACCCCCGATAGGAAACGCACACCTTCGCCGACGACATCGGCGCATTCGTCTGCTACCAACGGCCCTCTCGGCCGGAGCCGATCTCAGGACGGTCTTGCACTTGGGGCCGGTATCGATGCTGATACTGTTGCAGCACTCGATGCCGAGCTTGAGGCTGCTCTCGAGTGGATCAACCATCCCGCGGTCTTCAGCCGGGATAGCCGCAAGGCGGTACTACAGGCCATCGGGGTCATCAGTTCTCAACGCGCGTTTACGTACCGAACCCCCATCGAGAGCCTCTGGGCAGCACGTGTAGGAGGAGTGAGGAAATTGACCAACCGCTCGCGAGAGTGGCGCGAAGAGGGCGGAGGCGAGGGTGGAATCATGGAGGAGGCGTAGAAGAGGATTTTCTTTTGGGGAACTGGGCGTTGTCGCCCGACCGTCGAATTTCTAACTGCCATCATTTCTGCCGCTTCTCCTATTTGTTATTTTCTAACTGGGCGCTTTTTATCTTGTTTGGTTCTGGACGGCGCAACGGCGCATAAAGGTCACGCATCACCATCACTTGCTTCTCGCCGACACACGCTCCTCCATGCATGCTTGTTCCAACAGATGTCGGCACTTCTCTCCCCCATTCTCTCAATCTCCCCATCTCATCGCTGACGCGCAATAAATTCTTTCCAATTGTTTTCGGGATGAATTTTTCACGACACCACGCGATCATTTATACACATTCCTCATGACCTTTTTTGAGAGACATGAGTTTTTTTGGAGGGGCTTGTCGTTCTATTTGATGGCAAGCCTGTCTTGTTTCTCGCGTATTCGGTTGATATACCACTTTTCTTTGTTTTTTCCTTGAAAGACAAAAGTTCTTGACGAAACCCAGCGCCCCTTTCCTGCCCCTCCCTTTTTTCGGATCCAACAAAAACACAGGCGTCAAGGGCTACTTTCTATTGCGATGGTTTTGCACATGTATGCAAAGATTTTTTGAATGCAGCTCGGGTGTACCTTCGTGCCCACTGCCAATGACTTAGTTTCCATTTCTTTTGTGATTATTTCGGAGCGCATAGCGCGTTTCCCTTCGAAGGGAACAAAGATACCTCTTCGTTTACGTCTTTACTCTCTTTTCCACTGGTCTTCTATGGATGTGTTTTTTATTGTCAATCTTGATTGATGTGATGGATTAGAGGTTCAAATGTGTAGCCCACGGACAGCGAGGGGGCTTAGGAGACGGATGAGGAAGATGTATTGACGCATGTATCATTTGGTGTCTTTTCTCTCTTTTTTTCCTTTCGTTTTTAAATAGGAGCAAATGGTTCCTTGAGGGTACGATGTTGAATCAAACAAAACAATGGGCTATAGTTATTATTTCTGTGCCGTGTGCCCTCGGTGTTTTGATATGTTGCTCGAATCCGTGTATTGTTGGAGTAATTTGATAGACGTATGGCTCTTGATACACTCAGCTCTTGCCTTTTCGACATAGTCTACTTCGTATGTGCCGTATCCCCCCAACTCTCTCTTGTTTGACGCCTTTTGTTCCGTCTATGGGGTGGATGGCGGATGCAAGGTTTGTGAATAGAATCTGCACGTCAGAGTCATGCCAATGCGGCAGTCCCGAGGTTGCATACCCGAGGAGAGACACATTCAGACCGTGTTACTGCGGAGGTCGAGAAGGGAGCGGTCTTTGATGAATCCAGCATTCACTCCTCAGGCGAATCAGCCGTGTCCGGATACCACATGGTCGAGGTCATGCGCTATCATTTATTCAGCTTTCCCAATGATGGGTTTTGAGATTGTCACCATTTGGGGTGGGAGACGGGGGAGATTCTTGTTGTGGCCTAAGTCCAAGTTTGTTCGAAGAGACGTCCGCTGGCAGCACTTGAGAAACCCCCGTTTTACATCGGGAGTGAGGGAAAGGGTAAAGGAGAAAGAAAAAAAAAAAAAAAAAAAAAAAAAAAAAAAGAAGGCCTGAGAGAGCCAGCCGTGAGTCCAGAACACTGTTACTGGATTTGAACAACATTACCATGTTTCGGGACGAGATGACAGGATGTCGGGTAGAGCCAGTGAGCGTGCAGAGGAGCGCCAAGCGGGCCGATTAGGCGGGATCTAGATCGGATGTGGATTTAATGTTGCTGAGAGGTCCGCGCAGTGACATCAATCTAATTGGAGAAGATTCATGCGAATGCGTTCCGAGGTTGCTCTGCCTCCAGAGATGTCCCTCCCATTCCCTCTGCTCTTCTAAAGAACCTTTGTGTTACTGCGGGATCCTGCTGCTAGTCTGCTGCTGTCAGGCAATGCATCCGTCCTTCGCTAGCATGCTGCGCCAAGTTCCTGGTCCTGGCCTGACCGAATTCGTCCAATATTTCTGACACTTTGTAGGCTCGCGGAACGAATGATGAACTAGCCACCTTCGTGCTGGAGAGAAGAAGCCTTGGCCTAGATGCCGACTGCCTCAAAGCGTCCATTCGAATAGAGGGCCTGCTTTTTTCCTTCTTCTCTTCAACCTAGCAAAGTCTGGTACGGGCCAGGACAAAGGTGTCGCCGTGATAGATCCACTCGGCGATTTCCTGGGGATTTCTGGCTTGGGTCAACCCTACCTTCCTTTCCCGTATGAGATCAATGAAGAGAGAGCACACGCACGCCGGTCCACGGCAGTCGGCAACATCATTTCTGCCGCGATCGTGAACGCCCCTTGCTTGTTCTTCATTCTAATTGTAACCGGTCGATAATCCCCCCCACGACAGGGTCGACCTTGAGCGATTAAATGCATATAGTTCCGTACGTGCTGCCGTCAAACTTGAAGTGAGACATGATGAAGAAAAATAAAGCTATTGTACTGTGGCTTGTCCCTCGCCTCGATCATCAGGCACAGCGGCAGTGTAACCACGCGCTCTGCTGGGCATCAGATCCTGCACCGATGGGTGAAGAAAGAAAGCCTGGTTGGCCCTTCTGACTGGCCAAGTCGCAGCTGCGGGAACCCCGGACAGAAAGTGGGAGGTCGCGGCGGGAGGGAGCATGCCCGTTCTGCGCTGTGAGTGGCTCGAGAGCACCATGCGGAGGACCAGCCCGGGAAACGAACCCGTGAGCTCATCTTCTGCATGTCTTATTCCCTCTTCCAACCAGATTTCTTACTTGACATTTTCTTGTGTTCTTGTTCATTTCCGTTTGGCTAGGGAAGGGGTGGGTGACAGTTGTTGTCTCGAAAGGGGTTGGCCCGAGGAGAGATGGGAGCTGATCTCGGTGATAATGTAAACATGCTTGTAGCATGGATGGACGGACGAATACGATGCTTGCATAGGTCCAAGGTGAGATGCAGCTGCGCCTGGGGGGTTTTTGGTGAAAGGTGAAGAATAAGAAGTCGGCCAGTTCCCCTCTCCCGACGTGACATTGTGCATCCTCTTATTTTTTTTTTTTTTTTTTTTTTTTTTTTTTTTCTTTTTCTGATCCATTGCCTTTTAGGTTCATGGGGATTTGGGTTTACACTTTTAAAAGGGAAGAAACAATACAAGAAAGGAGTGCATTTCCCCTTGTTTCTCGTCAATTCCCCTCTCCCATTTCCACCCACACACAGCCAGCCATCATGGGCAACCAGCCGAGCACACCGCTGCAAACCTGCCTCAACGCAATCTGCGCCGGCCGCGCCGAATGCGTAGCCTACCCCAGCACGCCGCTCTACCAGCTCGCGTGGGTCAAGCCCTTCAACCTCGATGTCCCCGTAGAGCCAGTCGCCGTCATCCGGCCGCAGTCGGCGCAGGAGGTCGCCGAGGCGGTGAAGTGCGCCGAGAGCGTGGGGGCTAAAGTGCAGGCTAAGTCGGGTGGTCATTCCTATGCGTAAGCTTCCTTTCTTTCTTCTCTTTTGGGTCGCAATGTTAATTGAAATGGTGAAATTGACAATGAATTATTTAGCAACTACGGCCTCGGCGGTGAAGACGGCCACGTCGCCATCGATCTCGTGAATCTCCAAAATTTCGCCCTAGACCCTCAAACCTGGGAAGTCACCGCCGGAGCCGGCACGCGCCTCGGCGAGCTCGACAAGAGGATGCACAACGCCGGCAACCGGGCCGTCGCCCACGGCGTCTGTCCCGGCGTGGGCATCGGCGGACACGCGACCATCGGCGGGCTCGGCCCCTCGAGCAGGATGTGGGGGACTTGTCTGGACCATGTTGTCGAGGTGGAAGTTGTTACTTCCGGGGGAAATATTGTGAGGGCGAATGAGCAGGAGAACTCGGATCTTTTCTGGGTAAGTTCAAACCCGCTTTTCTTTTAGTATTATTATTATTTCTTCTAACTGAATTTAGGCCCTCCGCGGCGCCGGCGCTTCCTTCGGCATCATCACCGAATTCAAACTCCGCACCCACCCAGAACCCGGCGCCGTCGTCCAAAACACCTACTCCTTCTCCTTCGGCCGCCACGCCGACATGGCGCCCATCTACGAATCCTGGCAAGCCCTCATCTCCGACCCCAACCTCGACCGCCGCTTCGCCTCCGAATTCGTCGTGCAACCCCTCGGCATCGTCATCACCGCCACCTTCTTCGGCACCCAGGCCGAGTTCGCCGCCACGGGGATTCCCGACCGCATTCCCAGCGGCGGAAGCCTTAGCGGTGTTGTCAACGACTGGCTCGGTAGCCTCGTGCATGAGGCTGGTAATGAGGCGCTGTACCTCGGCGATATCCCCACGGCGTTTTATAGCAAGGCTTTGGCTTTTGCGCCGGAGGATCTGTTGGGTGGTGCTTCGATTCGGGATTTGTTTTCCTATATCGATAGGACGGATAAGGGTACTCTGCTCTGGTTCATCATCTTCGATGCGTCGGGCGGCGCTGTGAACGACGTCCCGCTCGATGCTACGGCGTATCCGCACCGCGACAAGGTTCTGTACTATCAGTCCTACGCCGTCGGTCTAGGCTCTCTGCCCGCGTCTACGAAGTCCTTCTTGGAGGGCGTTCACACGGAGATCGAGAGGGGCGCCGGTGCGGGAGCGAATTCTACGTATGCGGGTTACGTCGATCCAGCGATTCCTAGGGCTCAGGCCGAGGCGGCGTATTGGGAGGGGCATGTGCCGAGGTTGAGGCAGATCAAGGGGATTTGGGATCCCCAAGATACATTTTCGAACCCGCAGAGTGTGAGAGTGCAAGGGTAGATGCGGGTGATGAGGGAAGGGGAGAGAGGGTTTGCACGTCGTGGTGTCGGAGAGTGTTTTTTTGGGAGGACTACGCATATTGAAGGCATTTACTTCGTGATAGAATTAATTATAATGTGTGAATGAGTGAGTCAGGTCTAAGTCGCTGGTGATGGGTCCCTCTGGGTCTAGCTAAGACTCCATCTGCTCCATTGCCCAGTGGAGGAAAATGTGGTGATCATTGCATCATTCGACAAGGCTTGCGCATCATCGACACCGGCGCCGGAGTGTCGATCTGTCATGTGCTCGTACAATGCAGCCTCCGCCTTCCTTACATCCGTTGATCGATCGATCTCGCATATAATCTATTACCACATGGCGTCTGACGGCTCATCTAGACGCGGAACGTGATGAGGGCTGCCAAGGTCCGGTCCTCGGACGCGCGAAGCCCGGTTGGCCACGGGCTAAACAACCGAGCCGGGACAAGCCGCTGTCAAGCTCGATCACGGAGACAAAGGACGAATCAAAGCAATCAATTGCAATCATTCTTTTTTATCCCTTTCGTACCAGATCAATCAGAAATGTGTTTCTGTAAGCCGACAGATTGATGCCTTTGGTCGGTTGAGATGTGCGGCACACCAATATACGCCCTTCGAGCGGGGTGGTGTGGAAGGGCGCAAGTCTCCGATTTGTTCAGCCATCTGGGGTATAAGTATAACACTATAACCTCTCGCATTGGAACGAGGAGATATTGAGATATTCACCATTGAGATATTCGCCATTGATCTATTTACCCTCCGATACCCCTACGTCATATAATCGGAGCCGCGTGTAAATCTCGTGGGCGCAATTGTTGCTGGCCGATACATCTTCCAAAACGCAGGGTTTCCGTCACTCCTCCCGTCCCCCGCATCGCACCTTCCGCCTCCGTTGCCGACCCGCATCGCCGGATTCCAAATCGAGTCCTTCTTCCCCTACGGCTTTTAACGCCGAAACTCTAAACGCGAGGGCCGAAGTTCCAGCCCGAAAAAGGCAAGAACAACTCCCGATAGACCAAAAGACAAGGGGAAAGAAGCACTCGGTTCCCTCGCCTTTTTGACATCACCAGCGAACCCACAACTGCCGTGCCCAGAGGGGTGGGTATCCATAACTCGGGTGCCACCTTCCCCACACCCCCTCGCTCCCCGAGAACCCCGCGAACCCCTCGAATCCTCCAAAAACTTGCCCCTCTCCTCAGCCCAAAGTCAATTCCCGGTGTCAATTTATCTCCTAACCGATTTTCTCACGTAGGTCTGCGCGCTATTGTTTCTGGTGACTTTTGCTCGCGAGTTCGCGAGTCGGCATTTTGGATCTGTCATTGGAGCTGCAGAGGTTGAATATCCCGATAAAAGACAGGATATAGCAGTCCCATCGTCTAACACTCGCTCGCGTGCTCTCCTGTGCTTTCGCTTATTCTAATTGACGCTTCTCGACGGAGACTGGAACTCTTTTCTTCGAAAATTCGAATCCAATCGTTGCTCTACGCCGTCTACGAGGGGACCAGTCCATTGTAGTTGGCCACCGACCCCATTCCACACAATGTACACGGCATCTCTCGCCTTTTTCGAGGCCCTATGGGCTGCTGGCGTGACGCATTGTTTCGTCAACTTGGGCTCCGACCACCCCAGCATCATCGAGGCCATGGTCCTGGGCCAACGGGAGAAGAAGGGTGCCTTCCCCCGTATCATCACCTGTCCCAACGAGGTACGCCTCATTCCTCCCCTTCCCTCTTGTGCAAGTGGCCGTCTCCCTGCCAGGGAACATTTACCCTAACCAAGCCCTTAGATGGTCGCCATGTCCATGGCCGACGGCTACGCCCGCCTCACTGGAAAGCCGCAATGCGTCATCGTCCACGTCGACGTCGGCACCCAAGGCCTCGGAGCAGCAGTGCACAACGCCTCGAGCGGCCGCGCCCCCATCCTCCTCTTCGCCGGCCTCTCGCCCTTCACGCTGGACGGCGAGCTCCGCGGCAGCCGCACCGAGTACATCCACTGGATCCAGGACGTGCCCGACCAGAAGCAGATCGTGGCGCAGTACTGTCGGTACTCGGGCGAGATTAAGACGGGGCTCAACGTCAAGCAGATGGTGAACCGCGCGCTGCAGTTCGCGAGGTCGGATCCTCAGGGTCCAGTGTATTTGTGCGGTGCGAGGGAGGTTATGGAGACGGATATTCCGCAGCAGATTGAGTTGAGGCAGGAGGAATGGGAGCCTGTTAAGTTGGGGGGGTTGCCGGTTGGTGCGGCGGAGGGGATTGCGAAGGCGTTGGCGGGTGCGAAGGAGCCTTTGTTGGTTACGGGGTATTCTGGCAGGAACCACAAGATCCCCGACGCGCTGGTGAGATTGGCCGATAAGGTCAAGGGTCTGAGGGTGCTTGATACGGGTGGCAGCGACATGTGTTTCCCTGCGAACCATCCGGCATGGGTCGGTCTGCGATACGGCATCCACGATGCCATCACTACGGCGGACGTTATTGTTGTCATCGACTGCGACGTGCCCTGGATCCCGACACGGTGCGCGCCCAAGGAAGGGGCTAGGATCTTCCACATCGATGTCGACCCGCTGAAGCAGCAGATGCCCGTGTTTTACATCCCCGCCCAGGAGCGATACCGCGCCGAGGCGCTCACCAGCGTCGAGCAGATCCTCGCCGCGTTCGAGGCGACGCCCGAACTCCAAGCGCAGCTGGATTCGGACGAGGCCAAGGCGGCCGGCAAGGCTCGAGAGGAGTCGTATAACGCGTTGCTTAAGACGATGGATACAACATACCGGCCGCTCGAGGATGGGTCCTTTGGCACGGGTCACCTCTGCCGGACACTACGGAAGCTGTGTCCCGAGGACACGATCTGGGCCGTGGAGGCGGTGACGAATTCGCAGTTTACACACGACGGGATTATGCCGACGCTGCCTGGGTCGTGGATTAACTGCGGTGGAGGTGGGTTGGGATGGTCTGGTGGTGCGGCGCTAGGTATTAAGCTTGCGTCGGATGCGGAGCACGGCGGCAAGGGCAAGTTTGTGGTGCAGATTGTTGGTGATGGGACGTATTTGTTCTCTGTGCCTGGAAGCGTATACTGGATTGCGAGGAGGTACAAGATTCCTGTCTTGACGATTGTGCTGAACAACAAGGGTATGTCTTCTATTCTCCTTCCCCTACGACTCGCTTGTCCCCACTAACGTCAATGAACCAGGCTGGAACGCCCCGCGCCACTCATACCTCCTCGTGCACCCCAACGGCGAAGCGTCGCGCGCCTCCAACGAGGAGATCAACATCTCGTTCGACCCCGTGCCGGACTACGCGGGCATCGCCAAGGCGGCGGCGGGCGGAGAGCTACACGCGGCGCGGGTGGACAGGGCCGAGGACCTCGAAAAGGTGTTGGCCGAGGCGGTCAAGGTCGTGGAAGGGGGTGTGGCTGCGGTTGTGGATGTCAAGGTTGTGAAGGGGTGTTGAGGAGCGGAAGGGGGGGTCATGGGATTGGATGGATGGGGGGCGGAGGGCGTGTATGAGGAATAGAGGAGGAGCTAGATGTATACAGGATTTTCTCTTTTTTGAATATATTTGTCCCCTCAATGTTTTAAGCTCATCCATTCAGATTTCACGATTTCACCGAAAGTTGAGCCCTTGGTGCTCTCGGGATCTTTTTCGGCTCAGCACCTTTGCCCGAGATTTTTATGTCCGCGTGGGCACACCTCAAGCCGGCGATGGTTGGATTCCTGTGGGAGAGGTTCGTGATGGATCGAGGACGAAGTAGTTTTTTCGTGTTACACCCCACCACCACATCACACCCACTGCGCTGAACCGAGCTGTCTATGGGGGGGTTACTTTGCATACGGTAGTGGATCACCTAGAGTTTCGTGAGAAGGGAAGGGGATGGGGGGAGGGGAGGAGAGGGCGTGTTATACTTGGTGAAGGCTTCGGATATTTTGGAGGGTTACTAGGCGGTGAGGGGATTTATTTAGCAGGTAGGCAACCAACATCTTGGGGGGATATTCGATTTACGAGGTAATAGTGTCAAATGATGTATTCGATATGTGGAATGTGGTGGGGTGTGGGATTATTGATGGTTTGAGGAGGAGCATTGAGTGAGGAGCTATTTTGGAGTTGGTTTTTTTTTTTTTTCTTTTCTTTCTTCTTGTTCTTGAAGCGAGGGTTTAGTCTGATATTACGTGCAGTAGTGTGCTATGCCCGGTTTTCAAGCTGGGGAGTGGAGTTACAGGGACATGGAGATTTAGATGGTGATGCCTATTTTCTGGCGATGATGAGAGGCAGGTGTTGGAAATGGTAGGGGCCAAGGTGAGCGTTTTTGGCTTTAGTGTAGGCAGCAGCAGGGTAAAACGGGGGGATGCGGTGCGATGCATGAACGTGGGGACCAGAGCCTGCATACTCGGGAAATCGGGAAGTGGTGAGAGACGGACCAAAAAAAAAAGCTGAGATGGGCTACAAGAGACGGATTGAAGACTGGGAAGCGGCGAGGGGAGTCGGAACGGGGGAGGATGCCATCACGAGGTCTTTTCCCGCCCGCTTTTTGCCGTTCGTTCGTTCTTACGCTCCGAATGGGCACATTGGTGCCGAACGGCAGGAGCGAGAGAGTGAGTAATTGAGTTGAGTGCTTGGATTTCCCATTCTTACTCGCTGTGGGATGAGGTTTTTCAGGTTTTCAACGCGTCGCCCGCTTTCATGACAACTCGGCAAATGCGCATGTTGGAATGAATCATACTTGCCCTTTTTGGAGATGGTGGACTTCGGGTTCTGCAATGAGAGGTTTGGACTTGTACAATGACAAGAGACGGCGAAGGTCAGACTATAGTACAAACACACTACGACACAGTAGTGTCGAACTGGCGATGTTCTTGGCAGCTTTTTGTTTCTCGACTTGCACAGCGGGCGGATGCATGCAGCCGCGCAGGCAGCTACGGCGTCCATCCATGCTTGCAGATGCGAGGACGGGGACGATGGGGAAGAGACATGAATGGGTGAAACTCTATCACATTTCCAAGTGGTTCGATCTTTTTTTGCCTACAGTTTGCCGTCTCCTTTTTCAGCTCCTGCGGTACGTGCCATTGGGGGACATGATTTGAGAGGACAGGGAGAGCGATGGCTCGATTCGACGATGGGAGGTAGGGGCCCAAGAAAGGGTCCTCCTCATTTACATCGTGGGACAGACGTGGTTGATTGATTGATTGATTGATTGATTGACCAATTCTGCTGCTGGAAGCCACAATTAACACTGCCCCTCCCCCGCTCCTTATCGATAACAGCCCTGAAATTGTGAGGCGGGAGCCTGGAATTGATTAACAATTGGAACATTGAACCAGACCCAACCGGGTTCAATCAAGTCAAAGTGTCTCCTGGGGATATTGGTGGTCCCTTGCTTCCCGAGAATTGAGCACAGCATCGACCCACTTGCGACATCGGCTCGGCTATCAAGGTCAGACTCACTTTAATTGACGTGATGCGACTTGTACTGAAGTACTTCGTGCTCGGAATTAACTATCTAGAATGTCGAATCGGGTTGATTTCCTGCTGGCTACCTAGTTCCGTTGGCCTGAGGCTCAAGGACCGGCGAGTCCTATCCGGTGTAAGAGTCAACGACATTCCCATTCCCATCCCAATCCCAATCCCACCCTGCTCACTTACACTTTCATGCCAGACATTGGTCACAAACAGAAAAAGAAGAGTAATTGATTTTTCGAGTCAAATTTGATCTCGAAATCATTTTTTTTTCTTTCATTCTTCTAGTGGTAGTGGTATAGTGGTATAGTTCATCCAGTCCCGATCCCCGCTGTCTGCTGTTTCCCAGCGTATCCCGTCATAACCCATGTACATCAAATAAAGTAGAGTCGTAATAGTACAGTAGAAAACACAAGATCTCGGAGAATCCAAAAAACAAGGTAGAAAAACAAAGGAAAATAAGAAGAAGGAAAAAAAAAGAAAAAGAGTTGAGAAATGAGAAATTCACTCTCTTTTACTCCAATCGATATAACCCATCCTGATACTCAACTCGATGCCTCCTGCTCCCCGCCCCAATCGTAGCCCTCCGCCTGGGCATCCACCTCTCCTTCAACCTCTCCTTCTGCGCCTCCTCATCCTCCTCCTCGTCCATGACGGGTGCGGGCCTGGGAGCAGGAGCCCACTGCCCAGGAGCGGGCGCGCCACCCCACCCCAGACCGAGGTTTGTAAACGGATCCACCAACCCCGCGGGGCCGGCGGCAGATGAAGAAGTCATCCCCGCACCGACGGAAGGATGAATCTCCACCGTAGGCCTCACGTACGAGGTCGGTCGCCTGGAAGGAATGGGCTGAGTAGGCCGGTCAGCAATGTTCCGGTTCGCCCGCGCAATGCGAGCCTCCTGCCTCTGCCTCCAGGCCTCGTCCTTGGCTTCCTCGCGCTGCTCCTTCTTCTCCTTGCGTCGCCGCCTCTTCTCCTCGTCGCTCGCGGTATTATGCGAGTAGGAGTGAGGGTGAGAGCTAGAGCCACGGCTGTGGTAAGAGCTGTCCGAGGGCTGGCGCCTGTGATGGCCGCCTCGGGAGGGCGAAGGGGAAGAAGACGAGGGGGATGAGTAGGATTCCTCGCCGGGGACCTCAATTCGAACACGCGGCTTGCTGTCCTTCTGAGGACGCGGCCGCTCGTCTACTATGACGGGGCGGTGGCGGAGGGCAGGGTCCTGACCGAGAGGTCCGCTGATGTAAGAAGGAGAAGGGGGTGCTGTGCGGGGGATGTCGAAGCTTTGAGGGGGAGTGCGAGGCGTGGGGGGAGCCTCGACGATGATGATGCGAGTGTTGCTGGAGCTGCCCTTCTTGGTATCCTCCTTGTGGTAGCTGCTGCTGCTGGTGCGGCGGCGGTGGCCCGAACGGGATGGCTCGGTTTCCACGTTCACCATGTCCTGGCCATTGATGAGGATGGACGGACGCCTATATCGGTGACGCTTCTCGCGAGAGGCAGAAGAAGAAGCTCCACTGCGGGCATCGGAATCCGATTCGTGGGTCGTCGCCGGTGTGGTTTGGCCTGGCGTTAGGCGTGGTGAAGGGGGGAAGTAAACACCCTGGGAGTTGAAGCGAGGAGAAGCGCCGGGGATGTCCACGGGGGCCGTTGGTGTCGCTGGCGTGGGAGGGTGATGACCGAGGGGGTGCTTGAAGACAATGGGGTCGCAGGGGATACCGCGACGGTAGGCGGTGCACCGGCGGATCTCGCGATTTTCGCGGTGGATGCCGTCGGCGCTGATGAAAGGGTAGATGTCGGTGGTGCACATTGTTGCGGTGGTGGGGGTGTTTTGGGTAGTGGTGTTGGTTGTGACTCGGAGGTCAACCCCGGTGTTTGGGGGAATGACGATCTGAGTTTCTATACGGGTTTTCTTGTTGCGATGGCGCGAGGTAGTGTGCCGGTCAGAAGAAGATGCCGAGGTGAGTGTGTAAGTTGGTGAGTGGGTTGGCTGGATCAGATCACGAGTGCGAGTAGCGACAGTTGAGTTTGCTTGTGTTGATGTTCAAGACATATAAGATGTTGTTATCAAGGGAGTTGGAAGGATGTGTTCGAGGTGGAAGGTCAAGGCGGCAGATGGGAGACTGGTGGGATATGTCTTGATATATATAAGCAGTTGAGTGGAAGGTGTGTGTTGAGTCAAGTGTAAGTAAGAAAAGAAAAGTCTAGGCAGGTACGGGAGATTATATGTGAAAGTGGTTCGAGGATTGAACTTTGAGCGGATGGGAATGATGTTGATGCAGGTGTCGCGGCAGAGATTTGGAGTGGGAGGTCGAGGACATTTTTAAACATCGCGCGTGTAAGACGAAAAGACGTCTTGTTGCGGGTGGTACCTACCAGTAGAGGACAGGACTAGACTGAGACTTTGACATGGGACCAAAGAGCTCCGCCAGCTTGCAGGGATGTACAGAGGGTACGAAGTACTTCGTAGGGCCTAGGACTAGGCCGGGCAGGAGCAGGAGGCAGGGGGGTGTGTGGCTTTGCCCGGGTCTAAAATGGACAAGGGCGTGGACTGAAGTGGACAATGGCAGGAAACAACGACCAGGGCCGACAAGTACTTTGTACCACTTCAAAGTGGATGACTGTTGATGGTCTTGTCCACAGCCCACAGCCCACAGCGTCGGACACAAGAGCCCATCTTTGTGCTCATGTCTCCTGTACTTTGTGCCGCGTGCTCTGTAGGCAGCAGAGAAATCAATGCGAGTCGAGGGATTAGTCCTACCCTCCTTGCATTGTCTTGTTAGTTTGGAACTCTGCAGAAGCGGAGGAGAGGGGTGTCGATATACTTGTAGAGCACACGGTTTTGGACACGAGCAAGAAAAAGGAAAGAGAGCCAAAAGCCAAAATCGTTTTACTGGGGTTATTTTTACTTCCCACTTTCTTACTTCGTACAAGTATTCCTAACCCTGCAGGCCAAATTGGCTGCCTGGTCTTAGGGCTGCAAGGTAATCGGACGTGGTCTGTCCAGTCCC